TACATTTAGGGACTTAATTGTGGGTTTTTCACAAGGGAGAAAGCCTACATTTTAATCTGGAAACATCTAATGGGGAATTAGCATAGCTTTTTTCAGAGGTATATAAATAGAAAAAGAATTACTGGGGAAATTAACCAGTGTTCTGGGAAGTAATTTAGTTCCTTAATGCCGAAGGGTTGAGGGCTTTAATTAGAGGACTAGTTTAATTTTTTATTAAATTTTATTGTCTCTTCTTTTTTTTAATGTTTATTTATTTATTTTGAGAGAGAGGGAGAGAGGGGCAGAGAGAGGGAATCCCAAACAGGCTCTGTGCTATAAGCCCACAGAGCCCAGTGTGGGACTTGATGTCACCAATGATGAGATCATGATCTGGGCCAAAATCGAAATCAGACCCTTAACTGACTAAGCCACCCAGGCGCCCCACTCTTACTTACTACTTTGGTGAGATCTTTGTATTTGTATATAGTAAATCACAGTAACTTCACTCATTGTTATGCTTCATTTAAGATTAAAAAAAATTTGCGGTACTTTTTTACTGTTTTTCTTACAGATCAAAGAAGCCTAATCTTTAAAAAAAAAAAACTTTGTAAATCAATAACTCAAGCAATAATAAATTAACTTCACTGTGCCTTCAATTTGGGGGTCTGGCAGTATTTCTCTTATTAAATCAAACAAAGAAACATGTTCTGGTTCTCTTATAATTGTAACATGGCCCTATTAAGTGATAATTTCTTTTTTAGTGAATTTTTAAAAAAATTACTCTGAATATATTATAGGACATAGTAACTAAGTATAATAGAAAATAATACTTTTTTGAGGGTAAGGTTGGTCATTTTATTGTCAGTTATTTCCTTTGTTACTCTGAATGAGTTAGGTATAGATGTGTCAGTGCGAGTATATACACAGATGTTTTTGTAACTGTGAAGCTGTAGATACGTGTATTTATGTGCTGGGCGGCTAAAGTTTCTGGTCTTGGATATTTCCACCATTTAGTTAGCGGGTAGAACTTAATAACTTGCTAATTTATCAGTTATTGAATACCTTGAGTGGCAACAGAAAACTTAACCAACAGTGGCTTGAACACATGGGGATGTATTTTTCTCATGTAAAATTAAGTCCAAAGGCAGGTAGGTCAAAGTTGGTACCATGAGTTAAGGATGTCATCAGAGACTCAGGTCCCATCCTCTCGTCCTGCTCTGCCATATGGCTTTCCTCCTTACGTTCATAACGTGACCGTTGCATGCCAGGCCGCACGTTCTCATTCGAAGCAGAGAGAAGAAAGAAGTGCCTCTCTCAGGAAAGCAGAAGCCTTCCCAGAAATCCACTTTAGAGTTACCTTGTACAAGAGAGACTGGGAAGTCGTTTTTCAAGTGGAGCACATTGCCATTCTCATCACCGTCAGGGTTCAGTTGGGGAGCAAGCAGGGGAAGGTAGATACTGAGTAGTAGGCACGTTGCCGCATCCCATATCGACCCTTTGTTTTCGTTCAGATTTAATGAATGATTATTTTCCTCATAAGACTAGCACCCAGCTATTTAAAAATGAAGTTAGGGGTGCCTGGGTGGCTCAGTTGGTTGGGCGTCTGACTTCAGCTCAGGTCATGATCTTGCAGTCCATGAGTTTGAGCCCGGCGACGGGCTCTGTGCTGACAGCTCAGAACCTGGAGCCTGCTTCGGATTCTGTGTCTCCCTCTGTCTCTGCCCCTCCCCTGCTTGTGCTCTGTCTCTCTCTCGCGCTCTCTCTCTCTCAAAAATAAATAAACATGAAAAAAAAATCTTTAAAAAAAATAAAATAAATACATAATAAATAAATAAAAATGAAGTTACTATGGTCTCCCCTCCTTCAAAGGGCATCAGTTTTTCACATAATTGGCAACATCTTCAAAGCTCTGTATGCAGTCCTGAGCTGTGGCCCAGTACTCCGGTTCTAACTACCTGCAGGATGGTTCTGCCTGGACATTTGCTGATTGGTTCAAATACACTTATGTGCAAAGATAAATATTTGTATCTTCAGGGTTTTTTTTGTTTTGTTTTGTTTTGTTTTGTTTTTTAGTCAGGGTTGTCATTTTCCCAAACTGGAAACTTAGAATAATAACCCTAACTTCTTAAATTCCTTTATTCCCTAATCCAGTTTGCCATCAGCAGGGGTTTCCTGCATTGAAATGTCTTGGAGGTGACCGCCCCCCCCCCCCCCCCCCCCCCCCCCGACCTTACTGTCACTACTTGAAGTTACACTCAAGGCCTCCTCACACAAAGCCTCCTCCACAAGGTTTTGTAGCTGATTTCCCCAGTCCTCTTCTTCCTTTTTTATCCATTCTGTCATATTTCATCAGCTCCATTTTTACAGAAACTTAGCTTTCTAAATATCTTTTCCCTTCGTAAGAGTTTTTAAACCAAATTCAAAGTGATTTCCTCTTTCAAAGTTTTCTTTCATGCCAGATATGTTTCTTATTCTGTCTTTATTTCCCTTTATTTCTCAATCTAAATTGTCTCTCATTAGCTAAACACTGTTTCAGTAATACTTCAGCCTTCTGCTTTACACCTTCCAAAAAAAAAAAGATAACAAATTCCTGCCATAGACACTTGCCTCCTCTTCTCTGGTTGTGTCCCCCAGCCCCCACCTCCAACCTCTTTTGACCTCATCATTCTATACCTTTCAAGGCCTAGCTTCTAATTCCTTTCTTTTAGAACTTCCCTGACAGTTACTGCCTATGTGTTTTGTAACTATTCTAAACTACATTTTGAAGAAGTGTGGTGTGATGGAGTCAGGGAAGTATAACTTTAAAGTGTAACTTTAAATCTTGACTTAGCTACTTACCAACTTCTTAACCCTAAGCAACTTAACCTTTCTAAGCTAGTTTCCTTATCTATAAAATTTAAATAATTCTGTGTACACACATACACCTTTTTGTGAGAGTAAAATGAGGTATTGTTTAGTAATGTATAAGGCACTTAGTATTAGGGATTGTTGCTTGAAAACAAAAACCCAGGATAATAGTGTCTTAAACAAAGCCGAAGTTTATTTTTTTCTTACATAAAAGAAGTCCAGGGTTAGGTAGTCCAAGGCTGATGTGGTATTTCATCTGGGACCCAGGCTTTCTCTACCTTTGTTTTCTGCCATTCGAGTGCATGACTTCTGCAACAAAATCACAATTACCACATAGTCCAAGGTGGCTGTTGGAGCTCCAGCCATCATAACTACACTTCAGATAGCAAAAGGAGGAAGAGGATAAGGAAAGAAGGGCCTGATTTCCAGCTTAGTCAGCTTTCTTTAACCAACCTTCCTGGAAGTCCCTCATAACCCTTCTGCTTATAGTCTCATTGGCTACCACTTAGTCACATGACCATGACTTGCTAAAAGGAGGCTATAAGTTTTAATCTCTTAGTGGGGTGCATTGCTGTACAAAATAAAATTAGTGTTCTATTACTAATAGAAACTAGGATAATTAATTTTGGGTGGCTACAGGCAGCCTCAGCCATGGTTACAACCTGTTGTGGTGCTTGACAAATAGGCTTAACAGGCATCTTTATGTCTCTGTTCTTTCTGTTCCACTTAGTGTCAATTTAACACTTAATTCTTCTTTGCTTCATATGTATCTTTTTTTTTTTCAGCTACACTGAAAGTTTCTTGGGGGATAAAGACCCCCATCATACTTCTTTGTTGTGTTTCATAACACCTAGCAGAATGCTTGGCACTTGGACCACATAGAAGGAACTTAATATTTGTTTGTTAATTAATTGATTTTATCTTCCACTAGGATTGTAGTTCTTTTAGCCTCTCATTGAATCTCCCCACCCGCCATGGGTATTTAATACTTTTTCTCCAGCTACAAACTAACAGCTATTTAGAGAGCATATATTGTAGATTTTCATTCCTTTGATACTTTTTCTTGTTTTTTAATGTTAATGTTTTTTAAAAGTTACTCTGTGGAGTTGATAATTTAACATTTTATCTTTCTTTATATTTCAAATGTATTTTTTTTTCTACACCTAGTGCTTCAGGATAAATACCTCGAATTAAACCTAAAGAATAATGCATATATAACATATATCAATTACATATATATCTGTTCTATACTTATTAATTATGTATAGAATCTGACTTTTTAAAATGCCACACTTGGCAGGGCCTCAGGAAACGATTTTTCTGTGCATGTTTAACTCACCCATTTGTTTATAAGGAAGCTCAATACTTTGAAAAAAAGCTCAGGTCACATTTCTCTGACACATTGATTTTGAGCTGCTGGTGATTTTTCTTTTTCTCCCCGACTATGGATGAGAAGAGAGGAAGAACTAACTGGAGAGAGAAGACTCTCTCTAAGAAGATAAAGAAATAGTATTACTAGAAATTTCTTTCCCATCTGCTTGAGTCAGACTTTATGGTAAAAATAAGATCTTATAGTATCAAAGTATCTTGGGGTAGAAGAATTTATAGGAGTTCTTTTTATTCTACTTTGGAACTCACTGAATGGAATATTTTAAACATGTTTTATGCTTCCTTCAAATTTATTCCTTCACAGGAATACATTACATTAGTAGCATATGAATATATAAATATAATACAGTTTCATACCCCCAAATCAATATGCTAATATATTCATAAACCCAAGCATGTATATGTCTTATATAAACACATACATAAATGCTAAGAGATAAAGGTATGTTGCTACAAATTCTTCTTGGAACAAAGTTTGTTATAAATAAAATAAAAAGTATATATCATTCAGTTATGTACACTCAAAAAGAGGAGGTAGGTAGACATACATGAATGGTTATTGGGTTTAATATTTAGGTAGATATTAAGTGGGTGGGAGAGAGGGCTGGGCAGTAAAGGAACTATACAATGTTAATAAGAAGGAGAACACATATTAACTAAAAATCATAATAGCTTTATGGTACTTTTTAATGGTACTTTTTGACCAGTATACAAATAACATAGAGTCATTTATAAAAAGTTTATATTTCTTTCTAGTTTGACTTTATTTGGTTTTGTTCTCATAGATGTTTTCTCCCAGATGTCAGATTCCAATGGCTTAATGATATTTAGCAAGTTTGACCAGTTTCTGAAGGAAGTTCTGAAGCTCCCAACAGCTGTCTTTGAAGGGCCATCTTTTGGTTACACAGAGCACTCAGTCCGCACCTGTTTTCCACAGCAGGTAAGGACAGTTTTGTAGAATCTAGGACTAGAAGAGCACTCATCCATCCCTCTGCCCTTTATTAGATTTCACCAGATTGCTTCTAGTCTAGGGACATAAAGCCTTGGGTAGAGGAGGGAAAAGAGCTTTAAGTGGGAGGGGTGTGAAAAAGAGAAAGAGGGCAGACAAAAAATTCACCTATGAATTCTGGTTTGGGGGAGAGGGGAGTCTTTTCTGGAAAATGGTAACATATGTAAAATTTTAAATTACCGACATTTTAAAGAAAAATGTTGAAGATGAAGTGTTTATATTATTGCTACTGGACATATATTACTTGCCTGAATGAGTTCTTTCAACTGTGAAATAGAAGAATTTTGGTGTAAAACTCTATACAATACTGGGCCATTGTTTTCTCAGCACCAAAGACAAGGAATGCTACACAGCTCTCAGCTGCCAGCTCAAAATCTCTCGAGGGTACACTCTCGTTTTCATGTGAAGAAACGATAGACTGGGTTTCCTCTTTATTTGTGAGTGTCCTTGTGTGATCCTGCCCTAGAGATTGTATGTGTGAATTCCTGAGATCTTAACTGTGTCTCAGGGGTCTCAGAGCAGAGTGGATGCTGGCAGTAGCTCCGTTTGTGCAGGTAGACATGAGATAAAAGGAGCTTCATGCTAAGCTTAGAAAGTTCTAGAAAGGGGGGAATTACTGAAAAATCTGTTTTAAAACTAATGAGTAAAAGATTAATGGAAGTAGGATATTGACATAGTCTGAAAGTATCTCCTCATAAGATATTTTTTATTTAAAAATTTTATTTATTTGAGAGAGAGAGAGTGTGCATGCATGTGTGCTCAAGCAGGAGAGGGGCAGAGAGAAGGATCCCAAGCAGGCTCTGTGCTGTCAGTGCAGAACCCGACGTGGGGCTCAATCCCATGAACTGCAAGATCATGGCCTGAGCCGAAATTAAGGATTGGATGCTCAACTGACTGAGCCCCACCATAAGACGTTTATTAATTATGAAAGGAAATGTAGTAACATTAGAAAGTTACTATGTTACAATAGAGAAACCTGTCAGATTGGCATTAACCGAGTGATCAAAGTCCCTATCACCAGCGAAGGGACAGACTGATATCCTTGCCTCCTGAGCGGATGCACCAAGATGTACCCAGTATCACTGTTGTGGTACTTGGGCCAGAAAAGCACAGCCTGAGTCTCCTCTTCCTTTTTTTTTTTTTCCCCATTTTTTTATGTTTGGTTTTATTTTTTACAGTTTTATTGAGATGTAATTCACATATAACATTGTAAAAGCTTAAGGTGTACAACATAATGATTTGAGATTTGTATATCTTGCAAAACATTTATCACAATAAGTTTATTAACATCTGGCCTGAGTCTCATCTTGAGGAACCATCTGACAAACCCAACTGAAGATAGTTCTACAAAATAACTGGCCTATACACTTTAAGAATGTCCATGTCATGAAAGACAAAAAAAAAAAAAAAAAAAAAAAAAAAAAAAAAAAAAAAAAAAAAAAAAACACCCCAAAAAACAAAAACCTGTTCCAGGTTACAGGAATCTAAAGAGATAAGAAAAACCCAATGCAGTTTATGATCCAGGGTTTCCTTTTTGTTATAAAGGACATTGTTGGGACAATTGAAAAAATCTGAATACGTTTTGTAGACTAGATAGTAGTATTTTGTTATTAAATGCTAATTTCCTTATTTTGATATTTGTATTAAGTTATGTGAGAAAATAACCTTGTTTTTAAGAAATATAGGTATTTAAGGGTAAAGGGGCATCTCTTCTGCAGTGTTAACATTTGAGAAATCTTGGTAAATGAATTTTTTTGTAATCTTATGATCTTTCTAGAAGTCTGAAATTATTTAAAAATAAAAAGTTAACACATAAAAACAACAAATCTAAAAGTTTGAGAACCGAAAGAACATCGTAAACCAGATCCTCCTGATCTGTGATACTTTGATTCACAAAAGAAACAAAAACAAACACACACATACCTTTTTTTTTCTTTTACATTTAAAGTTAAGAATTCATATTTATTTGAACTCAGACTTTCAAACACTATTTTGTAATTTGTTTAGAGATTACTCATTAGCTTTAGCACCGAAAGTGGCACCCATAATACTGGTGAGTTATTTTTAGTAAGTTCTGAGGAGATGTTCTTCCAAATTTGTACATACTTTGGCTTATTGTTTTTGTGGAAATTTGCCTCTACGCATACTTTATCTCTTTCTCAGTATAAATGACAATATCAGCTTTTAGCACAGTAAAGATAGCTCTGTGCTTCATTTTATTCTAGTATAGTTTGCATTTTCCCCATAAATATGCATTTCTAAATGAAATGAGGCTTTCCATACATATGCTGGTACGGGAATGTCCTTCAGGTATTAAAATGCCCTGAAGCGATGTGAGGATGAGTGTGATAAACTACAAACATTTTTCCATTGATTTTAATTTATTTTTTATTTATTTATTTATTTTTTTTTAAACTTTTTTTCAACGTTTTTTATTTATTTTTGGGACAGAGAGAGACAGAGCATGAACGGGGGAGGGGCAGAGAGAGAGGGAGACACAGAATCGGAAACAGGCTCCAGGCTCCGAGCCATCAGCCCAGAGCCTGACGCGGGGCTCGAACTCACGGACCGCGAGATCGTGACCTGGCTGAAGTCGGACGCTTAACCGACTGCGCCACCCAGGCGCCCCTTTAATTTATTTTTTAAGTAGGCTTCACGTCCATTGTGGAGCCCACTGTGGGACTTGAACTCACAGCTGTGAGAACTGAGTTGAGATCAAGAGCCAGATGTTCAACTGACTGAGCTGCACAGGGGGCCCAGACAGTTTTCACTTAGAATTCCTCTCGGTGCTACTGCTTTAGTAGTACCATTACATTAAACGGTTGCCCCCACAATACTCTGGGGTAATCATATCTGATGTACGCGTGGCTTTTCACACAAGATACTTCCTGGAGGTCAGGCTAAAACTTGATCAAGTCCTGGAATGCTACTGTTAAGTAAAGTGTGTCAGAATGAATGGGGAAGGGAATTTATACAAAGAAGTGTCTGTGAAGAGTAACATCTGACCAGTGGATGGCAGTTATGTGGGGTTTTAAACCTAAAGTAACCTTTGATCTGATTGTAACGTGAGGACTATAATGAGAATCTAGTACTGGAACGACAGTTTAAAATGTTGAAGAATGTACAGAAATTTCCAGCTGTTAATCCTAGGAGTGCTATCTAGGATTCTCCAGATCACCTTATGCCTTTATGGTGAGGCTTTTGAACATACAGCTTGGCTGTTGCTTCTTATCTGCCTCTGATTCCTATAAAAAACTCATGTGCCAAATTTGAAAAAGTCAGAGCAGCATCTCAGGCTAGAGGAAACTTGAGCTTTCCTTGGTCTGTAAAGATGGCCCAAAAAAGGACCCTCAGAAGAAAAAGAAACTACTGGTAGAATGACCAAAAATATGAGACTTTGGACAGAGGTTCATGCAGCAAGAGTTAAGTCCAATGAGTTTTGGGTTTCTTTTTGAAAATGGGCTTTTCCCGTATGGTTTATTTTCCTACCTATGTGTTTTTTAACACGAGTTAACTTATCCACCATCAGATAGCGAGAGAACAGGGTCAGTGTAAAGTGGAAATTGCTTTGTTGACTCACGTGCAGTTTTCCCAGCATATTAATGTTCTGGGCTGAGCAAACAAGTGATCACAATGAAAGAGAATGTAGGACTGTTTTAAGAAAGAAGTGGAAAACCTGCAGAAGTACCTTTCTCTGGTGAAAGAAGTGGCTGGTTTGCAGGATTCATGAACTGCTTCACTTTCTGTAGTATTATGGGGTGAAACTGTGGATGCACAAGAAAGACGTGTGAAGACATTGTTTTTAGGACCCCTCACACCTGTGCTACAAAAATTGATTGATGGAGTTACCTATTCCCTGGAGCCCGTATTTAGTTTTGATAAAATTGATCTGTCTTAGAAGTTGTATGCCCTTATTATAAAGAAGGGAAAAAATGACTCAGGACTTAGGACTGAAAGGTATCATCTGATAGTGACCTTGTTGGCAGTGCCTGTGAGAGATTTAATTGTGCTATTAGTGTTGCTGTTGTTTTGTTAGTCCTCTGTTTACAAGGTGGCCTCTGTTTTTAGGTTTGTGCCAACCCTGTTTTTTCTCACATACCTTATTTTTAAATCCACGGCTTTGCAGTATGTGCAGCTTTTCAGTGATGTCTGTGTTGATTTACAGGAGAAATTCTTGAATTTTTCAAATGATGTGAAGAGAATTACATGTTTCTCTATTTTAATATAGCTTGAATTCTTTTTTAAAAAACAATTTTGCCTGCTTTTCACAAACTGACCCCAAAAAAGATGTTGGACTTAACATAGTTTTAAAAACACAACAAATATTAAAGGCATTTATAAGCTAATTCAGCAGAACACATCCACTGGAATAGCTAAAATTCAGACTGACAGCTAATGTTGGTGAAGATTTGGAGTGACTAGAACTCTCATACGAGCCACTTTGGAAGATGCTCTGGTGGTTTCCTATAAACCTCAATGTCAAAGATTCTTTTATCAGTTTCATAAGCATCTGAGGTGTCTGTAATAAACCACTGGAGTGAAGTTAATTCGAGAAATAGTATGCCTGGAATTTGCTTCAAAATATTCCAGACTGAAGGAATGGTGAAGGCATAAATTAAAATTAGTCATTATTGAGAATTGTTGAAGCTGGGTAACAAGCATATTATACTATTCTCTCTACTTTGGTATACTTTAAAATTTTTAGAAAAAATCTAGCTGTTTATTTGTGCTAACGATTATTGTCTGTATAAAGCACAGTGTTAACATAATACCTCAAGGCTAATATTTTGGTGGGTAGGCCAGGTATATTGATTTTTCAGTGTTTGTAAACTAACAAACTGACTTTAGAGACTTAAAAGTTATTAAAAAACAAGCAGTGAATATGTTAAATCTCTCCCCAGTTTTTCTAAACTTCAGAGTTTAAGGATGAG